CTTAACATAGATGGGGTGAGCAATCTCATCCCCACCCCACCCCGTTTTGCAGCCTAAGACAGTGTCACTGGGGAAGGGATGACCCTTCCCCTCCAAGGGCCTGGCAGCCAGGTCTCGAGTCTCCCAGCACCTGACTATACAAACAACTCCATTCCTCCCAGGGTACAGGCCACCCGCTCTCCCTTGGAGAGGAGAAAAAAAATGTGTGAAGCCTGGGAAACCCTCTGCAGGGGGCCACTGTCGCAGCTCCTCTGAGGGGCCGATCAGAACAATGGGAGACAAAAGCCCCCTTGGAGGAAAAGCTGCCCTTTGAGAGCTGGCAGCCCACTTCAACCCAGAGAGGCAGGCACAAAGGAGGAGGCTGTGAATGGGAGGCACTCCAGGCCTGCCCCAGACCCCTCCTTCCTCCTGGACCCACCTGCTCATCTCTTTCCTTGGCCTGTCCCAACAAAAGCAAAAGCCAAGGGCTCTCTCAACTTCCAATTAGTTTTTCAAATAAAATAATGACCACTGAGACCTGCTGCTACTTGTGGGTTTTGAGATGAATGCAATTACAGGGGTAAAACCACCACAGCAACAACTCCCATTCTCCGTACCATTAACCAGTTAACCACGGCGCTCATGGGACCCGAAACACTCCACTCGCCCCACAGAGGTGCCGGGTCCTACCTAAAATGGGTGCTATTTTTCTCCCCAAAGAAATGCTCTAATCAATGGGGGACTTGTCGCTTTTAATGATAATCTCTTCTGTTTGTATTAACTTAAAATTCACAAAGAGGCTTCCCATCCATTACTTCACTTGCTCTCTAGAGCAGCCCCGAGGAAGGCAGAGCACGGCACTGCTAGATTCAACTAGAGATCAGAGGGGTCCTCCAGGTCAGCAGGACTGGGAACTGATGGGGCGGGGAGGGAAGGCAGCACTCTCGAAAAGGCTGCTTTAAGACCCCAGGCCCCTCAGGAAATGCCGGGGAGGAAACGAGGGAGCTGGGGAGTCAAGTGACTTAAATAGGTGAATGTAGGCCTGGTACAAACTGTTTTTTTGAGATGGAGTTTTGCTCTTGTTGCCCAGACTGAAGTGCAATGGCGCGATCTCAGCTCACTGCAACCTCCACCTCCAGGGTTCAAACCATTCTCCTGCTTCAGCCTCCCAAGTAGCTGGGACTATGGGCCCCCACCACCACACCTGGCTAATTTTGTATTTTTAGTAGAAACAGGGTTTCTCCATGTTGGTCAGGCTGGTCTCAAACTCCCAACCCCAGGTGATCTGCCCACCTCAGCCTCTCAAAGAGCTGGGATGACAGGTGTGAGCCACCACGCCTGGCCTGGTACAAACTGTTGACTGGGCTCCTGCTACCACCACCCAGGAAATAATGACAACAGGATCTAGGCTACTAAGAGCAAACACTGACTCAATGCTAAGTGTCAGGCACTATGGTACATATTGTGGGTGTGGCCTCCTCTAATCCCTATAAAGCCCCATTTTTAATGATGGGAAACCACAGCCCAGAGAGGTAAAAGAAGGTACATAAGGACACACAGCTAATTGGGGAACTCAAAGCAGTTCTGTTTGATTCTAAAGCTAATGCGTCTTTATTCCTCAGAGAAGGACAGGCCCAGGTGCTACTGCAGTGAATAATTTGAATGAGAAATCCAATGGATTTCATGAATTTTAAGAGAGAGGCCTGCTGTCGGCTCTGGATTGCTAGACCATCTTGGTTATAGCAACCAGGTTCTTCCCCTACAGCACTGCTCCAGCACCGAGAGCTGAGTCACTTTAAGAGGCTTCGAGGCCAGGCGCAAGTGGCTCCTGCCTATAGTCCTAGCACCTTGGGAGGTCGGGCAGATTGCTTGAGCTCAGGAGTTCAAGACCAGCCTGGGCAACATTATAAAACCCTGTCTTTACTAAAAATACAAAAATTAGCTCAATGTGGCGGCACACGCCTGTAGTCCCAGCTACTCAGGAGGCTGAGGTGAGAGGATCCCTTGCGTTCAAGGTTAGCCTGGGCAACACTGCGAGACCCCATCTCTCTCTCTTTTTTTAAAAAGTTCCTAAGATAAAATCAATCCTCCTCACCACAGGCCCTAAAAGCCAAGTTTGTTCTGGCATCTATCCCAGCGAGGATGCCGTTCCTGCCAGTGACATCTCAGCTGCTTGGCCTGCTTCCAGCTGGAATGTGCCATGCTCTTGCCCAGGAGCCTCCGCACTGGCTGATTCTTTGCCCGGAGTGCTCTTTCCCAGCTTGGCATAGGCGCCTTCTCATTCTTCGTCTCAGCTGAGCCCTCCCAAGCCATCTAGGTAAGAACTGCTTCCTCTGAGGCCCTTCACGTTTGCGATCACTGCTCCCTTTCTCCCTCAGCCAGCCTGCCCATGGCTTGTACCTGGACCAAGGGCAGGGACTGGATCTGTCTTGCTCGCTGCGGTAGCTCTGGACACAGAACACAGCCTGGCACATGGCAATGTTTGCTGGGCTGTGTTGTCCAGCTTCTGTCTGAGTCTGCAGGCCAGCCCGGAACCAGCCCAAGAACCCCTTACTTATCTGTGCCAGCCCTTTCTCCAAAAAGCTGTTTCCTGACTTCTTTCCCTCCAGCCACTGGCTGTCGTTTGTTTCCAGTGACCAGGACACCCAGCAGCCTTTATACTTCCACCCTCGGGCCCTACTACCCCTTCTCCATACCACCGTCCACCCACACCCAGTCTGTCTCCCAGGCCTGCACAGGTTTGATGATAAGTGGGAAACGCCCGTGCTCTCATCCCACACGCTGCTGATGCTCTTTCCTCACAAGTCTGAGCGGCTGAGGTCCCAGCACATCTAAGTAGAAACGCTAAGAGCCACCCAAGAGCAACAGGGAGCCACCATCACCCCTTCCCCTCAGAGTGGGATAAGAAACTAAAAGTGGAGGGTGCCAAAGGCATGTGGCTGTGAGAGCCAGGTGGGTATCAGAGGAGCACAGCTGGCAGGTGGACCAGCGCCAGCGTCCCGCTCGTGGACACCTGTGGGGACGGGGCTGACGAACTGGAGCTTGCAGGCCCCGTCCAAAGGGAGGAGGTGCTATTCAGTGGCAGCTGACTGCTGCCGTCCAGTAATCAGGCCTGCCATCGACAGCTCTAATTTTCTCTTTCAAGAGAATCCAGAATCTAAAACCAAGATTTTTATACAAAATCTGTCTTCAAATGTTGGTGACTTAATTTGTAAAAACAACACTACAGATCACAAGTTTGCAACCTCTGGGAAGGAGAAGCCTCCTTCCCATCTTAGAGGCATCCCTATAACAGCCCACATCATCCTCTCACCTGTAGGATCCCATTCAGAACCAGCACAGAGTTCCAGAATCTTCTTTCCCCTTTCCCCAATCAAAATACCAATTTCTTCACTGTAGTAAGATCCAACTAGGTTGGAAAGCAATCCGATTAAAATAAAACAACTTCTAGCCCCCCAATTCAATAAATACTATGATTACCATATTTCAAAAGTTAACTAAACGTATCATGTTTCACTAGGTTGGTGCAAAAGTAATTGCAGTTTTTGCCATTCTAGAACTGGAGGCAATGGGCCAAGGCACATAACTGTAGGTCAATCGGGAAAGATGCCAAGCACTAAGATGCGTCAGCATTCAACTCCTTCACTCCTATGAGGTAGGTAGTTATCCCCTCACTTTTACAGAAGCACAAAAGGAGCTTTACGGAAGTCAAACTACTTGCCCAAGGTCCCACACCCTAGTAAGTGGCAACACTAGGTCTGTCTGGCACCGAAGGCTACGCAGTCAACCACGCTACGCAGTATTACTTCTCTACGTGCTATTATATCACCTCATGTAATATATGTAATATGGTCGCCCTAGGGCACAACTTCAAAGGGGGCATTCTTGAGATGGTTGTGGCCTTCTAACCTAAAGTAACTCAAGTGGTCAGTGCTCTGGTCTGAATTTGCGTCCCTTGAAAATTCACATTGCATCGAAATCCCCATGCATCAGTCTTTTTTTTTTTTTTTTTTTTGAGACAGAGTCTGGCTCTGTCTCCCAGGCTGCAGTGCAATAGCACAATCTCGGCTCATTGCAACCTCTGCCTCCCAGGTTCAAACGATTCTCCTGCCTCAGCCTCCCAAGTAGCTCAGGCGCACACCACCATGCCCGGCTGATTTCTGTATTTTTGGTAGAGATGGGGTTTCACCATGTTGGCCAGGCTGGTCTCAAACTCCTGACCTCAAGTGATCCACCAACCTCAGCCTCTCTAAGTGCTGGGATTACAGATGTGAGCCACCACACCTAGCCCCAAGACAAAGGCCTTGAGCAGAGGTCCTCGCTGCTACAAGTGGGGCCTTCAGATACCAACAGGGCTCCTCTGCAGACAGCTCGTGCTCACTGCTGGAGAAGAAAGGAAGCTGGCCTTTCCAGGCAGTTCTCAGTTCTCTTAGGAAAGGGGCAAGAAGGACCAATGTATAAAGGCCTGAAGAAATACACCGGCATCAACAGCATTTCCAAATCAGTTGTCATGTTATATACCCAAGGACCCCACCACCCAAAGTACTAGAATAAGCTCTCAATCGGGCCTTTGTTCCCATTATCATCCACTTTATTCCAAAACAATTATACATTTCAACTTTTCAGATGCGACATCTGGGTAGTTAGGAATATTCACAGCATCTCGCACAGTGCCAAAGAAAGAAACTATCAGAGCTCACCAGGTATCTGTTCTGTGTTGGGGAAACTGAAAAACAACAAGCAAAAGTCAACTACAATCTTGACTGTTTCCTTTTTAAATAGTGTTTTTTTTTTCCATTTTTCTTTTCAAACTGTGAATTGTTCTTGACTCCTTTTCTTGACATTCAGTTTTCGGGATTTCCATCCTTCGTCTGGAACTAATGTGCTGTTCTGAAAAAAAATGGAGACAAACACAAAATTATTGACGGTTTTGGTGCACTGTTACAGCTCCTAACTGGTGACAACAGGGAGACCAAGGTACTCTCCTGCGATAAGATCCCATTTATAAGGGAATAATCATTTACCGATTCTATTTATGCCCCATCTCATTTTACAAAAGAATGTAAGACAACTAGTTCATAATTAAGCTAATGACGACTTAAATACAAACAACAAAACAAACTCGATAATAACTAAGATAGTGGTATGTGACAACATACGGAGATGAGGTAATTCCAGGCACACCTCTCACAGTGCAAGGCCAAAAACAGAGTGTAAATTTCAACTAGATGAACAAAGAGGAAAGTTTAAAGAATGCTTGTCCTCAATCTCCCAGACACCAGCTCTGCCAACCAACAAGTGGCCCTTCTGTAGCTTGGAAGATGACATCCTGACCATTCATTACACCAATCTGCACATTCCTGCTGTGTGGCCGGGACCTTGCCAAGTCACACTCAGCCTCTAACCTAACACAGAAACATTCTCAAAAATGGGACTCAGCTCACAGAAAATGTTAAAGGGGATAAAAACCTATCTCCTGTATTCTTCTTTTCCCCTCCGCTGCCTTTCCCTAGGCTCTAAGGAGGGATGGGAACCACAATGAATGAAAAAGACAATCTAGACACACTGTGCAGCTGAGGAGGTGACTGCTGTGAGTAATCGATTCCAGCAGGCTCCAGCAGGCAGAGGCAGGGCTGCCGACACACACACCATCCTTCGGGGGCAGCTCTTCCCAGGGGTGAGGACTAAGATGATGATGACGGAGTCTTGCAGAAGGGCAGGCTCCAAACCCATTTATAAAGCAGTTCCAAGAGACATGCACAGGCATGGGATTAATCTTGAGGGCACCCCTAATTCCTTGCCAATATTCAGAGGTTCCTAGGTACACTAAAATGTGTACATTCAGAAATGTTCATGCAGAAAGGATAGCACAAGTATGAAATAAGAACAGCTGAAGGGTAGTGGCCCACAACCCTCGACTGTAGCTATGAACTTATGTCCCATGTCTGCTCAAATCAATGTCTGCCCTCGGATCAAGAGCACTTTGCTAACAGGGGTTTCCTTTCCAACACTAGGAAGTGCCAAATGTCCAAATGATCAAGGGACTTTCCTCTCCCTCAAGCAGTGATCTGGGGATAGCAGAGTGGAAACAGACTTTAGAAATCAAGAGGCCAAGCAAGGTTGCTCACGCCTATAATCCCAGCACTTCTGGAGGCCAAGGCAGGAGAACTGCTTGAGCCCAGGAGTTTGAGACCAGCGTGGGCAACATAGTAAGACCCCATCTCTCTCTCTCTCTCTCTCTCTCTTTTTTATCTTTCTTTTCTCATCTACTTACAGAAGACCCCAACTCTACTAAAAAAATTTTTTAATCGAGAAGAAAAACTGAGTTATTTAAAGAATTAGAGAACTCAGTATTTAGCAGAAAGGACAAATTCTGAAAGCACATCTCAGACAGAGTGACTATAATTTATGATAAAACCAAATGGGCATAGCCAGGGAATGGGGGTGGGAGAAGGGACTGACTCTAAAGGGGCACAGGGGAACTCTTTGGAGTGTGGCAATATCGATGTCTTGACTGAGGTGGTGGTTACGTGACTATATAGGGTTTTCAGGATTCACAGAATTGTACATTAAAAAGGGTAGATTTTTCTGCAGATAAATTACACCTCAATTAAACCTGAAAAAAAGCTAATAAAACAAATGCAGTTCCCTTCTGTGTTGGGGACTAGGTGACCCAGCTTATGCTCACACATCCCTGGAAAGGCTCTAAATCCTACGCTTTTGTTGATCTCTACTATTTTCAGAGGATTAGAAATTAGATGGCTTTCTGGCTTTGGCAGGGAAAGCCATTTCCAAGGCAAAGGATAAAAGAGAACATGACTTGAAAATTCAAATACCTCCCTCCCTTTGTTGGTCTAGGACAGGGGTCAGCAAACTGTCACTCAGGCCAAATCCAGCCCACCACCTGTCTTAGAGAATAAAGTTTTATTGGAACACAGCCACACCCATTTGTTTATACAGCCTATGGCTGCTTTCACATGACAGTGACGGAGTAGTTGGTGCCAAGAGACCATATGGCCAGTAAAGCCTAAAATATTATCTGGCTCTTTACAGAAAACTTTTGCCAGCCCCTAGTCTAGAGGAGCAGATCAATGAAGCATTCAACACTCCCTCTCCTTCCCTCCACTTCCCTCCTATCCTAGGACTGGTATGCAGAAGGAGCATGAGTGAGATTTCACTTCACATTTTAGTTTCATGGGGAACAGCCCTTTTAACATACCGAGTGCTAGGAACCTGGATTCTGACACTGGCTTTGATTTGTGGCCATCAGTCCCTCGGAATTTACAGTCTCCCCAAACCACAGTGTTGGGCTCAACTAGAGACTGATGTTACAAAAAGTCTAGAAACAGTGACAAGGTGTGCCAGGATTTGCCATGGGACCATCATTTAATGAATTTTGGATTTTTCTTGTCCTCATCTCAGCTCTCTTGGAAACAGAGAGAGAGGACTGTCTTATAAAGTACACCATGGGATATAGGGAGAATGAAGTCTTATACAGTCAAAGCCAGGCCAAAGCTACTCACTGCAAAGTTATCCCATCAGCTGGGCTAACTCAGGAAGCTTTTGCCCTGGTCCAGTCACAACCTTATCTAGCAAGGTGCAAAACAGCTTCAGAATTCGGCTGTGGCTTAGGGAGGGGTGGGAGGAGCAAGTGGGCTGAAAACTAGAAAGATAACTGACATGCATGAGGTGGGTAAGAAGGGGAAGGGACCCTGCTTCTGGGATGAGTCCGCCCTTCATCTTTACCGTAGTGTCCTATATTTTGCCAATCTACTGCTCTGCTCTGCAGCGATCCTGCCAAAGGAAAGAGGGTTTGAGAATCAAGAAAGGACAGTGAGGAGAAATCAGCTGAGGAAAGAAATGACAAACACCCAACCAGAGCTTCCATTAGGACTCACAAGGAGGGCCACAGAAGAGTGGGCTTTAAGCTTTTGAATGGGATACATGAGTAGAGGAGAGGAAGGAGTTACTGATCCTTCTGGGATTCTGATAAAAGCCATGGTCTCTCTCCCCAGAAAATGCGTACAACTTTAGGATTCCAAACTAGGAACTCCTGCTAAGTAGGATGTAAACCAAACGGTTTCTACCCAATTCTCGTCTTTATTTTGTTATTATTTTTCATTTATATATATATATTTTTTTAGAGACGAGGTCTCACTATGTTGCCCAGGCTGGTCTCAAACTCCTGAGCTCAAGCAATCCTCCCGCCTCAGCCTCCCAAAGTGCTGGGATTACAGGCATAGGCCACCATGCCCGGCAGATTTCATTCTTCTTGAGTGGGCAACTTCTAGAAAAGAGAGAACTTAGCAGACCACAATCTTTTGGCTCCCTGGGGGCCCAGGCACCAAAGGGAACAGTGTTCTGTTTTGTAAAAACAACAAAGTCCCGGATCTTTCCCAGGTACAATGCACAGCCATCAGGAAAAGGCTACTGCAGGGTGGAACAATGAACCAGCTGCCACTTCTGGTGCTAAGGGAAGCTCTGGTGGGCCCTGGATTCCTACAGGAAAGCCAAGGAACGTGCCTGTGCCGAGTCTCCACAGTGGAGTGCTTAGAAAGCTCACAATGGAGACTCTGGCGGAGATGAGACATCTTCTCCCACCCACTGATGGTCTCCCTGAAAAAGCCTCTCTCTGATCCTAGCAACCTAACTGGCAGCCACACTGAGGGTACACTATAGAGTTACATTCTTCCAGCAAACGTCCTGGATAGAAGAAAGCAGCACATCTGAAAATGATTTCTTCCAAAGGTAAAAGCAATTCTGACCTTTTCTTATTGGACTTTGCATGCCTGAAATCACTCAGGTTCTAATAAAGTCAAATCAATGAGAAACACCTTTGTGACATTTAAATTTGCCTCCAATTCTGTTTCGAAAAGTCAAGCTGCCAGCAAGCTGCCCTCACGTCAAGGTCTGACCATCTGTGTGACTCTAAGGTTGTCTAGGTCCCAGGCAGGTAGCACAGGCTACTGAGGAGATACTCCTTGCTGGGAGCCTCGGCAAAACCTGCTGCAGCGTCTGTGGGGAAGAACACAGACCCCGTGCTTTGGGGACAAGCTCCTGAGCTGTGAGGGGTTACCGAGGAGCAACTCTCGGGGACGTGTTGAGGGTAGGGGGTGCAGGGCAGGGCAGGATTCTCTGTGGCAGCAAAGAATTTTTGCACAGCTAACGAATTAATCTTCTGCCACATCTACTAATACATTTCATCTTCATAAAGCAATTCTTTTCCTCTCTCACTCTATTGTACTGGGTCATAAATTACTATGGTTTTAATACATTCAAAGCTGATCACTAAGGCCCTTGTCTGACTTCAGAGTGCTTATGGCTTCTGTACTGGGCTAAGTTAAGGTGTCAGACTTGAACACAAACCATTTTGCCTCCTACCGTTTAAAGAACCAGGCTGGCAGAGTGGAGTAATTCTAACCCTTCTCTAGATCCCGGGCCCACGTCCAGCCTTACCTCTTAACTGCCTGGTGGGCCAGCATCCGATTGCCAGCCAGAAACGTCACACTACCCAAGATGGCCAGGTACTTCAAGGTCTGGAACATGTTGAGCTGAGTCCAGTAGACATACATGAGCCCCAGCATAGCTGCAGGAAGAAGTGCCACGACATCCAATTAAGCGAAACACTAACGATTCCCTGGGGTTGAGGAGAGTTAGGGGCAGCAACTGCTGGATCATGAAAAGGTTTGTAGTCCTGGGCCTGCTTGTTTCGTTCCTTTGCTCTGATGCCAAAATGTAGCTAACTTAATAGACTTGTCTCTCAGCTGTGGCCACCAAGAAATCCAGGGGTGGCCAGGCACAGCGGCTCACGTCTGTAACCCCAGCATTTTGGGAGGCTGAGGTAGAACTGCTTGATCTAAGGAGTTTAAGACCATCCTAGGCAACATAGCGAGACCTCCTGTCTACTAAAATTTTAAAAATTAGTCAGGTGTAATGGCCCATGTCTGTAGTCCTAGCTATTTATGAGGCTGAGGTGGGAAGATCACCGTAGCCCAGGTGGTCAGCGATGCAGTGAGCTTGATCACGCCACTGTACTTCAGCCTGGGTGACAGTCATACCTTGTTTCAAAAAAAACAAAAAAACAAAAAAACAAAAAAAAAAAAACACACACACACACAAGAAAACCCAGGGGTAACAACTGAACTTCAGTGACCTGTGCTATGTTCCCGCTTACATCTATTTCTCTGCTTTTGTTTAAAACTTCTGTCATGTTATTGTTAGGATTCATTTCATTTTTCAAATTCTTAACAAAAATACACAGGATATAAATAGGCCAGCCACAGGGGCTCACACCTGTAATCCCAACACTTTGTGAGGCCAAGGTGGGTGGATCACCTGAGGTCAGGAGTTCGAGACCAGCCTGGCCAACATGGTAAAATCCCGTCTCTACTAAAAATACAAAATTAGCCAGGCATGGTGCGCATGCCGCACATGCCGCGCATGCCTATAACCCCAGCTACTCAGAAGGCTGAGGTGGAAAAATTGTTTGAACCTGGGAGGCAGAGGCAGACGCTGCAGTGAGCCAAGATAGTGCCACTGAACTCCAGTCTAGGCAAGACAGATCAAGACTCCGTCTCAAAAAAAAAAAAAAAAAACCTGTAAGGATAATTTGCCACTGTGACCAGAAAGGGAGCAAGGAAGAGCCAGGAAGAAGGCTGAGTGAAAAGGGGTCAGAGCTGGGAACAGAGAGCCCTGGGGTCTGGTCCAGGCTCTGCCCTCACCAGCCACTTAACTTCTCTGAGCCCAAATTCTCCCACCTTGTCAAAAGGGATCATAATTCCTGCCCCAGTCAGCCTCATCAGGGTTATGATGAGAATCAAATGAGAAAACATACACGAAAAGCACTCTGGCAGGAAAAGCTATGCCTCTCATCAAATCTATATTCAGGTTTTGTTCTCAGTCTGACCCCAGAGGGCTATCATTCAAATCCAGTAACTGAGCTAGAGAGAAAGGTCATCCTGTCAGTTTTGCCCAGGTGGATGATGGATAAACTACAGTAGGGGATCTTAACCATTTTTGAGGTCACGGACCACTGCACCATAATAATCTGATCAAAGTCACAACTCTCTTTCCCTAGAAAACACAGACATTTGCCTAGAATTTCAAGGGATTCATCTATGCACCCCTACAGAATCTGTTTACTACGGGCACACAGAGAGTGACTCCTGAAAAAGGCAAATAATTTTTAAAATATTAAGGTCAGGCCAGGCATGGTAGCTCACACCTATAATCCTAGCACTCTGGGAGGGCAAAGGCGGGAAGACTGCTTGAGCCTAGGAGTTCAAGACCAGGTCTGGCAATACAGAAAGACCCCGTCTCTACAAAAAATACAAATATTAGCCGAGTGTGGTGGCATATGCCTGGAGTCCCAACTACTCTGGAGGCTGAGGTGGGAGAATCACCTGAACCTGGAAGATCAAGGCTGCAGTGAGCAATGATTGCATCACTGCACTCCAGCCTGGGTGACAGGGCAAGACCCTGTCTCAGAAAAAAAACAAGAAATATTAAAGTCGAAGTGAAATGCAAGGTACCCCTGATCCAATAGCATCAAAAGCCTCAGAAATGCTTAAGTGATTTGTGAATTTACTGTCTCATTATGTTTAGGCTGTCGAGGTCCTAAAGTCTCCAGAGAACAACGCTGTAGTGTAGAAAGGACTGTTTTCTATTACTGCACAGACAGAGCTGCCAGCAAATGTGAAGATCGATATGGTGGGGAAAGATAACCTTTGGAAACTGCATTAATGCTCTTCATCCAGGAAGATGGCTCAGTGTAAAGATACGATAAGTGAGTAATCTCTGGAAAAGAACAGGATTATTAACTGAGGGTAAATGGTCTGTCAACAGTACAGCAGTACAACGGAAGCCCAATATAATGACAGCTGTTCTAAGTGATGGACCAAACAGGTTTACCATCATATTAACTGTCCTGAAAGGCCAAAAGGAAGAGGGAAATGTTATGCTATTAAGTCATTACAGTTAATAGGTTGTAGGTCTACTTAACTGGGCTTTAGCGTGGGCAAGCTAAATGTCAGAGGAGGTTAAATGGAATTAGCAGCCTGGGGCACTTACCAGCATGTCCCAGGTGAAATATAATCGTGCTAGGAGCGAAAGTGAAGTTGGAGACATTGGCACCAATCCGGATCCACTGAATGATGGGGAGAAATAAATTAAAAAGGCATTAGGACTTCAAAGGGAGGCAACACATGTCACGCCAATGCTAATCCAATCAACAGACTCAGGGCTTAAAAGTTCATGCATCCTAGAAGGACAGGAAATTCTTCCAAGTGACAACCACCTTCTTATAAGCCCTTGGGAAAACCTGTTCCCTTTCTTTAGAAAGGCATGCAGCACCTGCTCTCAAATGGGCTCGTGTAACTCAAACCCGAACAGCATTTTTAATGATGACAAAAAACAGGTGAGACCATGAAGCTGAAAGGTCAGAAACTGCATTTATAAGGTAACTGACACCCCCCCAAGTTCTCTAAGAACTGGTGAGATAAACCTGCTGGCAGCTGGCAGCATTCATGCTCTTGCTGGGGGTTCCATGTCTTCTGAAATTCTCATCACTCAAATATAAGAACAGGTGCCCATACCCTAGGTCTGGTTTCTGAAAACCTGTAGCAAGGCCACTAGATTTAAACAGTTATTTTTACTAAAATCAATAAATTAAATAGGAACACAGGCAACTCTCCAAAAGATCTAATGAGTTTTTTCTCAAAATTCTCTGAGCTTTGATATGCATTCATGATTGTTTATAATTTTAAAAAAGAAACAGAAAAACACAATTGGCTAAAAAAAAAAATTTCAAATGGTACTGAAAAGGAGAAGAGGTAAAAGTTACTTCCTCGTATTCTGCAGAATGTCCTCTCCTCAGAGATGGCCGACACTAATACATAGCGCCTTGTAAAACTTTTAAATTTTGTTTTGAGACAGGGTCTTACTCTGTCGCCCAGATTAAGAGTGCAGGGCTCACTGCAGCCTCACCTCAGCCCCTCAAGCAGCCAGGCCTACAAGCGCACATCACCACTAATTTATTTTTTCTAATTTTCTAATTTTAATAGAGACAGGGTCTCACTATGTGCCCAAGCTGATCTCAAACACCTAAGCTCAAGCGATCCTCCCACGTTGGCCTCATAAAGTGGTGGGATTACAGGCATGAGCCACCGTACCCAGCCACCTTTTAAAACTTTACAGAGGATCTACTAAACACACTACCCTGCCCCTTGCCTTCTTCACTCAGTAACACGTCTTGGCAATCTTGTCCTATCAGTATATACATCTACCCATTCTTTGAAAAGCTGCGTATTATTCCATCGTATGAACTTTAGGTTGTTTCCGGGTTTCCGCCCCAAGCAGTGCTGAAATGCACAGCCTCTGTGCTATTTTTCATAGCTATCAGCATCGGGCCTCGCTCTGTTCACACTAGATCTCATCTGAACCTTCTTACAGCATCACGGTCCATCCACTTTTGTTATTCTTAGTGTCTGTTAGGTACCTTCTCATGCCCACTTGTTAATGGGGCACTTTATTTGGCTGCTCCTTCACAGTGGGAACTTTTGGTCATTCTAAAACGTCTTGACCATCAGTTCAGGTCACAGCTGCTGGACCCCTCTGGAGCTTTTGCTGAGGCCAGACAACACAGCCTCCTTTGGAAGGGCTGCATCTGCCGGGTCTGGCGCCAGACACACGCTGCCCATGCTAATTACCGCCACTCACCAGAGCAAAGAGCAGCAGCAACGGCGAGAGAATCAAGGCAGTGAATGTATTGGACACCACGGTGGGGGGCCTCTTCTCAGGCTCACGGAACAGGTGCTGCCGAAAGACACACCAAGAAGACTTCAGAATGTGCCCTTCCCATCCGGGGCGGCCATGTATACCAGGGACCAAAGCATCAACATCAGTTGTAAAGAGGATATGCCACCCAGAGGCTAAAACCTCTTGGTAGCAAGTGGCCACGTGGCCTTTTGCCTCTTCTCAATCCTGGCTTCTGATGCCAGAGGTCTCCTTCCACAGACACTGCATCAGCCTCAGCTCACTGCTTGGCCAAAAACCCTTTGTTAAACCAGAAGGCTGGACAAACATGCTGATGATATTTCTTGGTTTTGTTTCTTTCTCCTGAGCAATTCTATATGAATTCTCTTTGCGAAGCTCACCTAGATAGTGTGGCCTAGCAGAAGCAGCAATGGTGTGGGCGTCCGGAGACCTCTGTTTAGGCCCAAACTGGTATGTATGGCTGTGCGACCAGGTGGCAAGTCGCTGTCACTCTCTACCTCAGTTTCCAGCTGGAAAAGTGGGGGTGGGGAGGGCCATGACCACCCTGCTAGGCTTGTAAAGATACTCTAAAGACCAAATGAAATAGGGCATTTGATTATGCCTTATAAGCTGTAACTCATTATGCAAACAGAACTTTTTAAAAAAGGTTTTTCCTCCAATACATCAACTCGTGCCTGTCTTTTCTGCTTGCCAATGCCCAGCCTCCCCAGCTCCATGAGGAGGCAGCCCCACTTGAGCCTCCTGTTCCTAAATTTTCACCTCTGTTCTTCTTTGCTGCCACTGCCATTAAAGGATTTCTAACACTGTAGCAGCTGCTGCCACCTACTTCACCCTACAAATCAGCCAGCGCTCTTCATCATCACAATTACACCTACCAGTGAGCTGCATTTTACATTCTTAAATAATGCTGTAGCAACATGAAGAGGAGTTTTAAAAACAATCCCACTACTCTACCCTTTGGGCACTTGTTTTTGTTTTTTTTTTAAAGGGAATGACAGCAGGTAGTCTATAGTTTTCAACACTTCAACATTAATTCATACGTAGGTTTCCAAGTATGATCATTTCTCAAGATTGCAAAACTGTCCACTGAATGGATCCACCTGTTTCCTTAACCAGTACCTAAGTGTTCAACAATTACTGTGTTTATTTTGTAAAGGGCTTTAGCAACATTTCAAAACCTTTCTTTACTCGTCTGTCATCAACTTTGATTCTCACAACAGTCCTGTGTGCAGGGCAGGACCAGGCTTGCCTATCCAAGGACTTGAATGAGGAAGTAGAGACAGCCCTGTTCTCCCAGGTGAGTTTTCCCACCTGTCACCCCATCAGCCCTGATGTATGCAGCAGCAGGGAGAATAAACCCTAAAACCACCTGTGCTCATGGCTAACATGCTGTGGTCGGAGGGTGGAACCTGCTGGATGTCAGGAAAACCAGACTCAGGTTCTGATTTCATCTCCAACTCTGCTTTCTGCGGGTTAGTCACTGGACTCTTTAAACCTGTTTGCTCAGTTCAAGGACAGGGCTGGCATTTACCCTGCCTAATCCACAGAGTGTGAGGATCAAACTATAAAATATCATGAAAACAAGCTAAAGGGAGCAGAGCCACAGTCCAGGGCTTTGCTGCCCTCTCTTCTCCCCCGTGTTTAGTGGATAAGTCCTTTGGGATATACCTGAATTTCCTGTTTTGGAGTGAAAAGGTTCTGGGACAAGACAGTTGAGGGAGCTTCTTCCTCAGGGAACTTGATGACCACATCAGCCTAGAAAAATAAGGACAGTCTTTAAAGGCACAGGGGCAGAGAAATGGGTGAAACTCAATAGATAATATTCTCCGACTCATATCTAAGACCATAACTGAAAAAAACTCCAGGAAGTCCAATCACTTCTGATACATTAGTTGACAAATTGAGGCAGTAAAAATTTCAAGAACAAAACAAGTATTTGTTGAAAATGCTTTTTAGAGCAAGACTTCTAATTTTCTACTGGTTTAGTAGCCCCATAGATCTGCTTAATACAAAAATCCCAGCTGGTACACAGGCTGTTAAAGTTGCAATCAGAAACTGCTTGGTGTCCCTGGAAGTGCAATTTAGTAATATTTTAAAAACAAGACAAAGAAATGAGTACACACTCTCATACAAAAACAGCCCGAAGTCCGGGAGAAGAAAAGAAGCCTCGAATACCACAGGTGAGTCAATCACCATTCAAAGCCTGCGATTTGGCCTCTGCTACCCTTCCAAGCTCATCACCTCCTGCTTTTGACAGGATTCAGGTGCTCTGGCTCCCACTGCACTGTAAGCACCTTGAGCTTTTCTGCAAGCTGTTCCTCAACAATCACCCCGTAGCCCCAGATGTGATAAACCCTTGCCATTCTTCAACCCCCTGCTCTAATGCCCTGTCTTGCAAGACGTTTACTCTCATCACACCAATCCAAAGTGGGGCATGAAGGGAGGCATTATGTAAATGACAACATGCTATACAAATGTTGTTTATTAGTTAATTAGCATTTTGCACATTGTACAATTCACTTTTCTACATCATCCTGAATTATTACCAGAATTCAGATCTCATCGCTACCATGAGCTATGCTATCTCTCTCAGGCCAGGGCCTTAACTTTCACATCTATGTAACCCCCATAGTGCCTTGCTATAGTATAAAAACCACCTTCCTATATAACATATATAGAAATTAACAGATACAAGCACTCACAGGTTTATCCTTCCTTCATTCACTTAAAATTTTTAAGCACCTACCATGCTGCCAAGCCATGTGCATGACCCCAGGACTATCTATGGAGCCTGCACACAGTGCCTCGCCTCCCAAGTTTATTTATCGCACTTAGGAGGTACAGGCAAGGCGAAGGTGAAGAGCCCCATGCCCCTGAAAAGGAGCCACCAGTGACTGGGGCACAGCCACTCTCACCTGGGGGTGCATTCAGGCACATACCACATTCCAGAGGATTGGGTTCTTCAAAGTGGCATCTCCAATGATTAAGTAGAGAGTGTAGGTGCCAGAGGCAGAATCAAATTCAATCTTTCTTTCAGAGGTATCCAGTTCAAACTTGTACACGTTCTTGTTGTCTGGCTCGGCAACGAACACCACTTCCTGGCCAGTCTTCTGGTTATGAAGTCGGACAAACGTCTAGATGGAAGAATAATACAACCCTTCATCTGATAACTTCAAAACTCCGCCTGGGCCCAACACTGAATCCACCAGGCGGCAGACAGTTAGCTCTTTGTCACGGCGCAAGCTCTGGGATCTGCCAGACCTGCCCGAGAGTAGACGGAGTAGCCATGCCACCCTAGTTCCTAGCTCAGAGGTAACTTTTTGCTGGTACAAGGAAGAAAATTTAACTTATTGATCCAGCCAATTCTCGTCTAGTTGGAGGCTGAATGCCCAGTTTGTGGATGATTTAAGCCCTTTGCTATTGCCGCAGTTTCTTTTTCCTGGCAGCCTTTTGGTCACTTTGCTGCCCAATTAACTGCTTCACCAGAGGGTGAAAAGAAGGGAAATGAGGTGGAACTGCAAGAGGCCCATTTTTAATTTCCTAGTGCCTCCAGCTAAAGATTTAGTAGAGGAGCCTTGGGTATTGATAGCAAGGCAGAGTTCTAATCAAGCAGAGCAGCCAGTGTCATGGAGAGAGCCTCGGCTTGGAAGACAGATTTGCTTCCACTACTTATTAGCCGAGCAAGTTACTTAACCTCCTTATGCTTTGATTTCTTCAACTTGAAGGCAGAAAAATTAACTTTCAGATGTGGCATATCTGTGTGAAGATTTGCAATACAGTATACAAAGCATTAGTGCAGGGCACGGTATTTACTAGCTAGTCAACAAACAGTAGTTAATAGCAATACAATAGTACTGAAGTCTAATCACTTTATCTCCCCAAATGGCACAAGAAACTAAGGTGTCTGTACATTAGAACTGGAGCAAAACTTTATATCCACCCAGACCTTTTCTTTCTTTCTTTTTTTGAGACAGAGTTTCACTCTTGTTGCCCAGGCTGGAGTGCAATGACACAATCGTGGCTCACCACAGCCTCCACCTCCAGGGTTCAAGCACTTCTCCTGCCTTAGCCTCTCAAGTAGCTGGGATTACAGGCATGCGCCACCACACCCAGCTAATTTTGTATTTCTAGTAGAGACGGGGTTTCTGTGTTGGTCAGGCTGGTCTCAATCTCCTGACTTCAGGTGATCTGCCCCTCAGCCTCCCAAAGTGCTGGGATTATAGGCGTGAGCCACTGCACTCGGCTCAGGTGTTTCAAAATAAAGAATTCAACAAGGCAGGTAGGTTGACAGATCCAATTTACAGATCATAAAGCACAAGCATTAAATGAGTTGGCATGGTGACAGAGCCAGCACTGCATCTACAGAAAACATACATCTCATTTGTTACTCTGTACCTGAACAACAAAGAACAGTCACCAAAGCATTTAGGCAAAGGGGCCCAGAGATATGAAGCACCCCAACTATAGCAATTACTCTTGGACAGGAATGGAATCTGGGAGTCCAGATGCCAGATCTCCTTCCTATCATAGTCAAGTGCAGGCAGCTGCCACGTTCATCCCCAAAATGCCATCTCCACCTGGAAGGTCTCTAAGCCATGATTCTAAAACAGAATCTTGCAGGAAACAAGTATTCAGTTGAAGTTACATTTCCTCACTAACTCTCCCTGCTCTAACCCTAATCCTACTAATTTCGTCTTCTAATTTCTTTTCTTCTTTCCATTAAGCTATTAGGTTGGCAAATGTCATTCTGGGAAGAAGCTGGGGAATGCTAAGAGGCAGAAGTACTCAAAGGTCAGTTATCCTTGGCTAAGGGCCCTAGCCAAGCTGTCTGGAGTTTAGGAGCAGGGAGGAGAGAGGAGCAAGGGACTCCTGGGACCGTTGCCCTAGAGGAGCATGCTCCTGGGGCACAAATGCAACAGCTGCAGCTGCAGGAAACAGAAAGCAAGAAGGTGCCCAAGGAAATCCATTTGCCTCTGAGGTCTGCCCTGAAGCTGCCTCAAGGCAACTAGCCTGCTGGTTCTTGCTAAAGCATCAATACAGGGTACCCTACACCAAACTAGGTCCCACATGCTTGTCTTTCAGCATTCAAAGTATTTATGTGAATCTTCCTTCACATAACACTAACAGCAGGATATTCTCAATCAAGGGCGGTGACAGGCAGTGTGGGAGTGCGGGTGTCTGAGTGGACACAGGCCATATGAGGTTCTCCCTTCCTTTCTCCCTTCCTCCCTGTACAAATAAATGAGGTCTCACCATATTGCCCAGGCTGGTCTCCAACCCTTGGCTCAAGTGATCCTTCCACCTCAGCCTCCAAAGTGTTGGGATTACAGGTGTGAGCCACCACGCCTGGCCAGTATATTCCTTTTAATCAGAAAGAAAAAGCCTCAGGTGGGGCGAGGTGGCTCATGCCTATAATCCCAGCACTTTGGGAGGATGAGGCAGGCAGATCGCCTGCGGTCAGGAGATGGAGACCAGCCTGGCAAACATGGTGAAACCCTGTCTCTAATAAAAATACAAAAATTAGCTGGGTGTGGGAATGCATGCCTGTAGTCCCAGCTACTCAGGAGGCTGAGGCAGGAGAATCGCTTGAACCCAGGAGGCAGAGATTGCAGTGGGCTGAGATCATGCCACTGCACTCCAGCCTGGGTGACAGAGAGAGACTCCAACTCAAAAAAAAAAAAAAAGAAGAAAGAAAAAGTCTTAATTCAGTGTGACTCTGCCTTAAATACCTCTTTTCAATACCAGCTAATTTTTAAAAAAGAAATGTGTATTCCAGGTGAAGGATTACAATCGATAGAAAGGTGAGAGTGTCATGTGAGAGAACCTTATGCACTGTCAGGGTTCAGTCAAGATCTGAAAGCAGGAATCTGAAATTCTCTCTAGTCCTTATTACAGAACACACTGTAAACTCTAGTGAGCATTCGTATTTCATTCAGGTTAAGAGAACTGTCTGGGCATCTTCCTGACCTGATGAGGAGTGAGTTCAGTACCAGTGTTCACATCTACCAGCTGGAAGAACAAGGCGAAGTTCTGGTGGCTGTCTGCGATGAATGTGCCCGTGGCTTTGGCTGGGTAGGTCACCCTGAAAGAAACATTATACAGTCAGCCTTCAGAGAGGATCAGTACATCTCTGAGAACGGGCGAAGACATACTTCACTGCATTCCCTGATCCTCCCTCTCTCACAGTAACACTTCTGTTATGGACAGACAGATGTGGAGAGCTGGCTGCAGCCTGGGGGCACACTGGACTGATAAAGCCCAGACTGAGAAAAGTGCAGAATAAACTTTCAGCAGGATCTGGGGAAATGCTGTGTGCAGACACTTGTACCTCTGGGCTTTCACTCCAAGGACCTAAGGCTCTCAACTCCACCAAGTCAGGCAGCATTGGAGCTCACGTGTGGCCTCTGCAGGCACACAGGAGAGTCGAGCTGGCAGAACCACAAGGAGAAATAATCACAAGATTGATGCCAACAGCACATATGAGCAGGGTCGAGACGGGGGGTAGGAGATACAAAAGAAAGAAGGGTACTTCCAGCTTTTTCTTTTCTTAATGTCTTATTTTTTTCCTGGACGCTGTTTTAATTTATTTTTCTGTGCTGAAACTGGGCTTCATTTTGGGAAAAGTCATTTTCCCACAAGGCAGACTTGATGAAGAAAACTTCTCACAGCTATCTGCTGGGATTTTAGGGTAAGATGGCCAGGGGATAAACCAGTCAAATGTTCACAGAGCTCAAACCTGGCTCTATTTTATACTCACATTTTATACTTACTGGTAAGACCAACTCTTCATCTGTGCAGAGAGTTAAATGACAAAGCGCTCACACTGACAATAAATACTTCAGTGGATTCTCAAACAGTGCTCTTATCTCCAATATCACTACAAAAATAGCCAAGCCAGAGACACAAAGGCCAACTCTACATGATTTAAAAGGAGCAGCTGCTTGGCTTCCAGCCTCTGGCTAACATCCCATCTTCAAAAAGACTTGAGGGTTCACCCTACTGTCTTCTGGCCACAGCTATCCTAGTTGAGTCAAGTTGGAGTTTGGACTACACCCAGATATCTAGATTCTCCCTGCACCAATAAGCATCTGGGGAAGGGCTGATGAGCAGGCTTCTTACAGCATTCTGGCCCAACTCCAATCAACTGTTAGTGTCTACTTAGAAGATTATGTTTAAAAAGATTCTAAGGCTGCGTCTGAGTTCGGCGGGAGCAAATGCTATGACTTACTAGTAATGCCTCTATGGACCTGGGAAGGGAATGACAGCCCTAGCGCTGGGTACCTGCCATCTCAATTTTAAGCACCTAGGAGGCTTCCAACAAATTTCAGACCCACCATGGACCAGAAAGAGCTGCCATCAGGTCACTAAAAGCAAATTCAGGACTGTGACGATGAGATTGCCCCAGAATGTAAATTAATACCTTGCTTCCTTCATTGAGAAGGTCTTGTTATTTTAAAAATTGTCATTTGAACTAAATAATGTGCTAGTGACATAGCTGACTGACAGACTAACATCCTGAGGTAAGTGCCTTATTTTGTTGTGGACTGGTAATGAACAGTTTGTGCATGGACTAAACACTGTATAGACAACTTCCAAATCCGCTTAGATGCCTCGCAGAATCCTTGGTGCAGGACCTACACCAGAGAACTACAGCCTCTTTAATTTGGGGTGCAAGCCGGATGGCTGCTGACAAGAACTGATGCCTGGAGGGGCTCAGTGCCTAGGCATACTCCTCTCAGCTCTTGAGCCTCAGCTCCCCGAGGGCTCAGGTGGCATATCACCTACCGGGTAGTTTTGGGTGCAATGCTCTGATCCTTATCCACGGTGGAAAGATCAACATTTGTGATGCCAACTTCAGTGGAGATCTTGACTCTGAGCTAGAGGAAAACAGAGAAGACAGTTGCCAGGTCAGCTGGTGGGTGTACAGGAATGCACATGCAGATATCAAGTTTTCTCTTCTTTAAAGTGAGTAAAGGCAGGAAAAAATCCTAGGACAAGAGTCGTCAAGGATGATAGTGACACTGACCCAGCCCAGTTATATTTCTAACCTTTACCATTCTGAGGCCTGTCTTTTTCTGGCTTTGGATGGATGGTATGCATTAAAAAAAAATAGAAGAAGAAAAAGGAAAAGAAAAAAAGTAAATCTTTTCATGTGTCCTTTAAAATAAATAAGATAAGGCCGGGCGCGGTGGCTCAAGCCTGTAATCCCAGCACTTTGGGAGGCCGAGGCGGGTGGATCACGAGGTCAAGAGATCGAGACCATCCTGGTCAACTGGTGAAACTCCGTCTCTACTAAAACTACAAAAAATTAGCTGGGCATGGTCGTGCGTGCCTGTAATCCCAGCTACTCAGGAGGCTGAGGCAGGAGAATTGCCTGAACCCAGGAGGCGGAGGTTGCGG